TCAAGCGTCTCCTACTCTGAGCAAATAAACGAAGCTCGAAGAATAAAAAGAAAACTCTCACTGTCTAACAAAAAATTGAGGGTAGAAGACTCGAGCTCCGTGATCACACAGGGAGACTTACACTACACCAAAAACGACAAAGCCGGGCCTTATCAAAACTGACAGCAAACAGGGTATGAGAAAGATATTTCTCGCTTTTGCTTATCTTTGCTTTTGTAGACCTGGTGTCTGTTTATGTATGTAAATTAGTTGCTTTGGTCACTAAAGTAGTAATGTATTTTTGAAAAAAACAGTTGGTGGTCGAGTTTGATCGCATCAGTGAAGATAATGTATCAGTTGCTACCATCGTCGACAAGCACTTGTGAAGCAGTCCTGGATGAACTACCAGACACAAGAAATGCTGAAAATGAAGCTTCTCGTTCAGTTAAGAAACAAGTCGTAACGGCAAACAAGGGCACTCAGAAAGGCAACCGGCGTCCTCCGTGTCGAAGTAAAGGTATTTACCATTAACGTACCCTTTAGAATTAAATCAATGTTCAGGGGTAAATCGTAGAGTAACGTTTCCTATTTTTTGTTTTTTTTGTCTTTTTTTTTTAACCTAACAGGTATACAAGCTACTGCAAGGAAAGCAATTCTCGTTGAAAATGGTACCCAGTGTAACATTGCCAACCCACCCCCACTATCTCTTCTACCAACTGAATGCGTTAGAGATACCAAAGGAAAAATTAACCCCGTAATTCTTGAGAGTGCTGAGATGGAGCCATTTGAGGATGAAGAAGTTGATGACGAGGATTATACTCCTTCTATAGACCGGAGGAAGATGAGGACGAGACTGTCGAAGTAAAACCTCAACAGCGAGTAATAATCTCTACCTCGTTCCTGGCGTGTCAAGGTCGTTTAATACTGTCAAATGTGTTGTTCTTTAGAGAATTTGTTTCCTGACAATACATTGTGACTTTTTTAATCATAAAACTCAGGTCTTCGACGAGTACAAAGGAAAATGTGAAACCTTATAAAGAGAGGAAATTCATTGTGTTCGAGAAGAACTTGTTGGGCTTGTTTGCTTCCTACCCAATATGTGCTGGTCCTGCAGAAGCGCGTATCATCAAAGTTATCGGCACTATGGTTAAAATCAACCTGTGTTGCGCTGACGAGAAGTCGTGTCAGTTCTCTCAAGTGTGGTTCAACCAGCCATTTGTTAAAGGTCAAATGCCTTATGGTAACTTACTGTTGACAGCCTCTATTTTGATTTCAGGTTAGTTCCTTAATTCATATGAAATGTTGTTTCGCTTTAAGTTAAATTGAAAGTCAAGAATTCAAGGCCCTGCACCAGAGCGAAATGATTTGTCGGTACAGTAAGACTATGTCTGCTCAATTTGTGTACTTAATTTCAGTTATTAAAACGCATTTGATTGCTTTCCAGGATCTACTGCTAAAAGCTTAAGGATGCTGAAGTTAATGAATGTAGCAACCATTTCTGAACGTACCTTCTATCGCCACACCAGCTCTTATCTTAATGCAGTTGTTATACAGCAGTGGAAAGAGCATCAACAAGATCTCATTAGTGAATTCCTTGAGAAAAACGACGAGTTAATACTGGCAGGTGATGGGCGCTGCGACTCCCCTGAGTACTCTGCCAACAGAGGGTCAACAGAGTAGTAGATTTTCAGCTGGTTCAGGTTTGAAACTTTCCCAAGTAATGGTTGAAAGCTTTAAAGCTATGGGTTAGCATTCCTAATTGCAAAGATGTATATCACCATTTCTGCAATATTAGTAACAGTGAAAATTATCTTTCTTCTGCAGAGTAATGAGGTTAGAAATAGTGCCTAGATGGAGCATGAAGAGTTGGTGAGGGCAGTAAAAGTACTTACGGATTCAGGACTGAGTATCGCTGAATTAATCAAAGACAGGCACAAACAGAACACCGCCTGGATTAAACGAAATCTGCCGAATACTACCCATTACTTTGACATATGGCATGTGTCTAAAGGTACATGTACTATGTGTTCTCATTAATTATGCATCTCAACAAAAACAGGTTGTGGTCCCATGCCAATAAGTTTTTGAAAGAGCTTGCAGTTAATTTATGGACTTTTAAAATATATTTCTTTGGCCTACCCAGGCTTGTGCAAATAGATCGACAAGCTTGCCAAGAAAAAGGACTATGACGAAGTTGGTGAGTGGTGCCAGTCCATTTCCAATCACATGTATTGGTGTGCAGCCTCGACAGCTGATGGAAATGGTGAAGTCATACAAGAAAAACGGAAAATACTACCATTACACACTCAAAACATTCATGTCAATGCAGAGAGTGACCTATACCCTGAATGTGGGCATGGCAACCTGCTAGGAGACGCAGCTGATCGGCTTTGGCTCCAACCAGGTATAGTAATGGCTATATATTACACCTGACAGAAAAATAAAACAATTTTAATTTTCATAATTTCTTGTGTAAGGACAAAAATTAAAGTTGTGTACAACAGAAACTTTCAACAATGTAAAGATTTTTCAAAGGCCTGAGGGTACTTTTATGCTGTTCATAAGTCTATGTAATACATTGTAATTTGAAGCACTAGGTTTGCAATAATATGATTTCATAACTCAGAGGCTCATGCCCAGCTGTTAAACTGGAGGAATTGTTACTGAAGCTTCAACTGCTGAAGGATGTATCACAACTATCCCCAAAATACCATCTACTTTGGAAGCCAAGCACAGCCTGGACATCCAGTTTGTGCCAAAGCATACTGCCTTCTCTTACTGGGGGATTTATACTAGGTTTGACTATTTCCCTTTGCTATTCTCACTCTGTTTGGTTCTTTACAAGTTTTGCAGATCACAAAGTTGCAAACATTGCCCTGAGATCTTCACTAATATTTAAATCATTTAACAGATTGTGCCTTTCTGCCCTGCATTACAACACCAATGCAGACAGGATGCAGGCAGTGACAGATGAAGGCAGGCCACGCTACTCAGTTGTATTTCCAAAAGCTAAAAAAGAAGATCATGCAATCAGAAAAATCAAAACACAAGCTTCTTATGATGGGTATGATGTAGATGGGGCACAGGAATTTAGAGATTGCACTTTTTAGCTTATGGATTAACACAAGCAAAGAATTAACCTTTGAAAATTACCTCAATTTGGGAGCCATAAAAAATAACCAATTCAAGGTCCACCTCATAAAGAACAAAGAAGGAAATTAATAGTGCATTTCAATTTTCAGATTACTGCTACAGCATTATAAAGGACTCATTTGCAAAATATGAGACAAATCCAAGGAATCTCAAGGAGTATGTGACAAACTTGGCCATCAACACCCCACCACCCTTTATTGCAAATGCACAGAGACCTGACAAAGAAGAGGCTGTTCAGAATTATGTGAGCCATTTCAACTGCACTAATCTGGTGAACTAGTTGACCTAAGTATATAACAACCAATACTTAAATTCTTGTGATTTTGAAACCTAAAATATCATTGTAAATTCGATAAGGGTTATTTTGTGTGAAATAAAAGCATGTATCAGAAAAAAATTGTAACTAGCATGTGCCAGTTTCAGCTAATTTGAGCTCCTAAGGGAGACTTTGAAAACAAAAGTTATCTCCTAGTGACATAAGTAAAGGTTTCTTCAAGAAGAGGATTCAACCACAAGAATACATATAGATGTATGATAAAAACTTATTTTTCGGAGAAAATGTTAATGGCGTAACAAAAGGAAAGAAAAGATAAATTTAACCCTTGCACTAAAGTTTACTCATCTGCATAAGTAAAACCAGTAAAAACCATGTCCTCCTCCAGCTGGTTGGGCTCTGGGAAGTGGGCACGTATGCAATTCACAGCACAGGAAGGCAAAAAGATGCGGATATTTTTGCCCAGAGTACCCCAACACTACCTGACTAGCTGCCTGTAAGCAATGTGGAGGTTTTTCTTATGCTCAGGCCCCTCATAAGCAGAAGAGCCATACTGCTGCTTGTATTATCTACAGAACCCAGACACTGAGGCACACTGCCTCAAACCCTGGATGCTGCACAATACATCTGGGTTCTGCCTGCAACTGTTCCTCCATGACATCCTCCAAAATTTTATTCCTAACTGCATCTACTTCTTGGCAACAGATGCTCTCTTCCTCCCTTTCCATCGCTTGGCAGTTTCCACACTAACACCTTGTAATAAATAAACGAATTTTTTCACGATGTTGAATAGGAGAAATAGAGATCACAACTTGTTTGATTTTTTTCACCAAAAGGGACAGTTGTAAGCCCTGTTACTATCACAAACGTGAAAGACACAACTCAAACTTTAGGCTTTAAACAAGGTGCAAAGACCACAAATCAACAATAAGTTATTATGAAGACTTTGTTCAATTCTACATGTGCAAATGCTATTTTTCGCTGCATCGTGTTTTAAAGTAAAAGCCTAGAAATCTATAATCGTTCGCCAAATTCAACACAGGAAAACTTAAAACCGATTCAATCACGAGGAAACGTGAATAATCCATCCAATTCACCCCCACAAGCGTGTTATTTTCAGTCTGTGAAACCTAAGCTTCGGAAGGTGCCTGCGTGTAGCATAAATCACTTCGCTTCCAAGCTACTCAAGAGTCTGCACATTTGGTTTTGATTTACTTGATCGCTTCTATATTTAATAAGTGACTGATTTTCAGACACTATATTTAAAAACGTATCGTACTCACCATTCGTCACTTTCCTGATTGAGGCGGCCGCGGTTCAAATCGCCAGGGCCTAATTTCACTAATAGGTTCATAAATTCTTTCATTATCTTCACCCTCTATAAAGGCCTCAAAATCGGAATAATCGGACCCAGAAGTAGAACTGCTTTCAGTTGAGCTACTGTCCGCCATATTTACGTTGCTTAGTTTACACACGTGTGACGTACAGGTCTCATGATCAAAATTGAAGTGTTTATGGCGGATGACTCACGAAGCTGCATTTAGGACAGTTTTCCCGGCGAAAAAAGGCACAAAGAGGCATTCGAAGCACCTTATTTCTGTTTCAATTAGTTACCTGAGGTATTTAGACGGTATTCCGAAAAAGTGACCCTCTAGCCGTCAGTTACCCTTTAAGTTTTACGAGACGCACCGGAAAACGATCTCAGATCAAAATGAAACTGCTATTAATAGCATGGGTTGTAGCTTCAGTCTTTGTGCAAGGTACGTATCTCTACTTCCTAGATGTCGACGAAAATCAATCGGAATGTTGTAGATAATTGTTATGGCGCGCGAAGAACACGATTTTGCGCCACGTAGTTTAACACAAAGCTGGAACGTGACTTTCCGGGATAGCTCTCAAGGACAAACGTTTCGGATGGACTCATTTAAGGTCGTGCGTACATTTCTTTGTGGCGAAAATCTCACGCTCTACCACTAAGCGATGGGTAACTCGTTAGTGGAATAGATCACGTGTCAAGATCGTGATCATAATCACGTCCTTATCATAAGTGCTACCGTACGAGCGCCTGTTCTTCGCCCGCGGGAACATCAGAGGCCTTAACCCTTTAACTCCCAAGATCCAATTGTTAATTCTCCCTTCTAGCTTTAACTTATTCCCTTGAGAATTAGAATTTAGTTATAGATCAAGATAACAACTTCTAGCTGTCTAAGTATGAGTATTCTTATTACCTGCTTGCTCGCTAATGTATGGATATTATAAGGAGAAGTTACATGTTAATCACTTCTGGGAGTTAAAGGGGTAAAAAAAACGTGAACCGGCGAGAAATCTGCTGGGGATCTACCGCTGATTGATAGTGACAGACCCCCGGCAAACTTCTATCGTACTCGTCTCAAAACTCCCCGAGGGCGGAGAAACGCGTGTCCTGTAGCACTCGTAATGAAGGGTGCCATAATCCTAATCAGTCCTAGTTTAAAAGTGATTTTCATTCTTAAATGTTTTGTCTTTAGGATGGTCGATCACGTGCTATCGTTGTGGTGGAGCTGCACCAAGTTGTGAGGGGTCTGGTAACGCGACAGTAAAATGTGATGATTCATCCATGCCTGGTTCTGTGTTCGCTTGTCAAGTGTACACAGTCAATTACACTTCATATGACACGATCGAAGTGTTTAAAAGTAAGAAACTTCAAAGTGAGAGACGTGTTAGGAGGGTTTCAATTGGGTGATGGCTTTTTCGGCTAACGGTCAAAATTTTGGCCAATTTACGGCTCGCGGTTAATATCTTTCCATTGTTTTCACCAGAAACTTTTTTTACAGTGAACTTTTTCACGACTAACGGTTAAAATTTGTCAGTTTTTACGCCTAATGGCTAAATTCTTTGGCCGTTTTACAGCTAACAGTTAACCCCATTAAGGCCGTTTGTTGAGGATAGAAATGAAAAAGCGAGAGGCGATGAGGTGACATGTGAATACAGTTTCAGGAAGTGATGAGATGCAATTAACAACATTATGAGAGCTGAGATGTGCGATGTGATGAAATGAAAAATCAAGACAAGATGGAATAAGATAGCGCGTCGAGACATTTAGAACAGACACCACATAAAATCACACGATAAACGTATGATAACAGGTCATGATTTTGCGTAACAGATCTGACAGGCATGGGATGACTTGAATGAAAATAACTTGGAAAAAAATGACACAACAAATGGGGTGATAAAAATTAAATAACCTCGCGAGACCGATATGACATCACCTTACGTAAAATTACATCGCGTGACGTGACAAAAATAAGATCAAATGTTACAGATGTGGGGTGATACAACACGACATAGCATGACACGTCAGGACCGACCTGACATTACATGAGGAGATGACATAAAATTAAACTCGATGCCATGGAATTAGAGAGTATCACATCACGAGGAGGTTCCATCACATTCGATGCGATGATATGAGGTGAAATAAAATAAAAGAGTTTGAATATAGACACATTTATTTCGTTTACCCAATTAGCATTTCTCAACTTCTTATGAACTACTTAGGCTCGTGATAATAATAAGGATTTGATTTTCCTTTCGATGACAGGCTGCTGCTTGTACGAAGACTGCAACAAAGATCCTTGTAAGGACTTAGGGAAAGACACAGTCTGCTCTAAGATGGCCAGTTGTCAAGAAGATAAATGCAACTTCGACTACGACTTTGCCAAGGCTTCGCAGCCTCCAACGCTTCCCTCCGAGGCTAATAGCGTTTCTACGGGAAAAGTCCTGGGAGCGACCCTTGTATTGGCAGTTAGCTTTTCATTGTTCATTTAAGTATTTCATAACTTTTCTTTGGCAGGTATCACTTAAAGATAAGCTTGCAGCGTTTGATTTATTGCACGGTGTTTAAAAAAACTGCATGAAGTATGCACAAACTTAGTTGAATCTTTTGAGAACTTATTGTAAAGCCAAAGAAATTAAAAGTGACTAAACTTACAAGTCAAGTGATGTTTTATATAGGGAGTCTTTCTGAGTTTTTATTGCCACCAATAGCAAAAAAGGCCATAATAACAAGGCAACCATGAATAAAAAAAACAGTAAGAAAGAAGACTACAAGAAAGTACGGATTAAAATTGTCTTTAAATTTTTACAAGTCCATATTCCCATGTGACGACGGTTTGCGCCCAAAAATAGTAGGAAGATTCCTCAAAAGGTTTCGAACAATCAATAATTTGTACCTTGCTGGCTAATTTACATAATCTCAGAGCGGAAAAGAACAGTTGGTAGCCCTGCCTTTCTTTTTCGTCGTCCTCCGCCCTTACTTATTTCACTATTCATTCATTCTTCCCCTGAAGTCTTTTTTCACTTATTCCCTTCCTTGAAGTCAGTTAATTTATCAACTTTATTATTTTTTATTGCATTCGATGGGGCTTTCTCAGTTATTGAGCTTTTACTGGTTTCATGTCTTGCTTTCTTGGGTTTTCCCCGGAAAATCAAAATTTCCCCAAACCTCGTTGTTGTTCATTATTGTTTCTATCAGCATTTGGCTCTAACACATCACCACACCAGCGTTACATACACTAGTTGTTTATTTATTGCTGTATGTTTATCACGTTTATATTTCGTATGTCTGACTTAATTCACTGATGGATCTAAACCATAAGTACCGGAATAGGTAATTCTACAGTCTTGAATCATTATCCTACACCCAATTAACCAATGAAGATTAAGAATCTGTAAGCTGTAGATTGTCCTCTTCCATGGCCCCCAGCGATCCTCATCTGCTTCAAGACTTGATCCTCCGACTTACATGTCCGAAGCCTCAGCCGGACGAGCATCAGCTGCTAGACCAGATGCGTCACTCTCAAGACTGAAACCCTCGTCGGCACCAACACTTGCATCTTGAAAAGTGGAGCTCTCATCCGCCGTGAAACCAGAAGCGTCTTCAAGGAAATATTCGTTCAACCCACTTTCCTCTAATTTCTTTGGGAAAGCTACTGCAACACTGCATACCATGGCTATAACAAAATGGACGTACAAATGTTTCTGTTTCTTGATGCAGTAAAACAAAATAAAAACACTCGTGGAGATTAGCGGCTTGGGGCTAGTGGAAAACATCGATTATTATTACGAACTGCTAGTACTCGTCAATATTAATGCCAAGTCATTTTGGTGGGACAGAAAAGTGACTAATGAGCTCATGCATCGGGTGAGCTTTAGTATGACTAACAAATAAAACATTTTTCTTTATTATATTGAGTTGTTAGCGAAAGGGAAACTAAGAAGGTTCAGCCAAAGCATTCTGAATAGACTAAGTCGACAAGAGCTTATTATTCTTTCTAAAGCGTTTCTTCCAAAATATATTTTTTCCCAATAGATGGTAATTTACCGCCTCTTATCCACATCTAGCAGTCCCGTAGGGATTTGATTTGGTGCTCTCTTAGCAATAAGCGCCCCATCTCTAATAAACATTCCTCTCTAATTTTGTTTCGTTAACAAGCGCCCCTTTTCTGCTTTGGTAATCAAGTGATAGCACTGCAACATTAAATGTGCATTGAGATCAACCTTGGTTTATCTTGCTGTAATTGCTCACTTTAAGTCTCGTTGCAAAAACAAGGGTTTTTGTCTCAGTCTCTCAACTATTACTGCGTTGTCAAGGCACAGTTCCTTCGAACGAATGATCTCGTTTTAAAATTTTGAGATGATTGCTTGGCTGGTCGTTCTAGCCAGGAAGGATCTAGGGACAACAAGTCCGTTTTCAAGTCTTTTTGATCTTTTTTCAATAAATATCAACGCTCTGTTTTGCACCTTCTTCTGTTCCTCAAAAAAGAAAGAAGCGCCCTGTCCTTAATAAGAGCCCTGTTTTGAAAGAAATAATTTCCTCTTGGCACAATTGAATACAGCAAACATGTAAGTACTCTCTTACCCAACAAAACAAGCGAAAAACAGTTCTTCATCGTGCCTCAGTTTGGTTTGGACTTTTCACGGTGGTACAGATTGTCAAGTTAGTGCAGCAGATCAGACCTTTAAGTCAACTACAATGATTACCCGACTTTCGCTGTTCCCTTTATTATCCGTTATC